TTGTTCTTATTGTTTATTGTATTTATTTATTGTATTTTAATTATTAATCAAAATATTTCTGTTGAAATTTGGAGTTTTTATTCTTGTGGCATCGAAAATGGTATCGAGTATTGAATATTTTCCTTAGTATCGGTATCGAGTTGAAAAGTTTAGTATCGTGACAACCCTAATCCTAGGTAGCATTCGCCTCTTTGAAACAAAGTGGTAAATTGTCTGACAGTATGTCAGAGCGACATTTCTTTGTCTTTTAATTACATTTTCATACATTGGAAATCATAAGTGTTTAATTATATTTTTTTTATTTATTATTATATTTAATGGTTTTTCCATCGATTCAGTGACCTAATAGCACCCTGTTTTGTTATATCTTATGCACAAGTTTAATAGAAATAGAAAAAAATAGAACTTTATTGATCTCTCATCGGAGAAATGTACCTCTGCATTAAACCCATCCCAAAGGGAAACTTAGCTGCCACTGTGCAGCGCCTGGGGAGCAGTGTGTGGTTAAGGGTCTTACGCAGAGACCCAAAGTGGAGGCTGGGGGGTTCGAACCGCGTACATGCAACCTTCTCAGAGCACAAGCGCACTGTTCTAACCACTAGGCCAACACTCCCCCTGATGTGTTAAAAAAAAAAAAAAACAACTAAAAATGTTTCTATGCAGTCAGTATTAAATGTTGCTGAATGATAAATAGTTAAAATATAATGATGTAATTTTCAAATATAACTTGTATGAAAAGATCCTCTTCATGCTAGACAAAGTTCAGGTCAAGTGTTGAGGAAATGGCAATCGTGAAAGACGGTACCCTGACTACATTAGAACTGATATTGATTTTTTAAGATGCTATTTGTGGCAGAAAACTAACGCATTAAGTCACTTTAAACATAGAACCAAACCCAAAATGTAATAATTTAGATCAAAGCACATTTCTGCCTTTTAATGACCCAGTCAGAGTCCAAACCCAGCACCAAAGGTGTTGGTCTCTATAAGAGCAAAGCATCTAGAGACATACCTCAAATGCCTCGCAGCTGTGATGGACTAATCACAGACAATCCATATTAAATGCACAAAGTGAAAGGGTTGAGGGGGTGTAAATATCTTTGCAGGGAATTGAACAAACATGTTTAGCTTTTTACCCTGGAGGTCATGAAGAGCAGCTTAGTCTCCATATCTGGAGTCAGTCGACAGGCTAGAAATTTACGAGACGTTCGAGCCGTCAGAAGCTGGAGGATTCCTGCAGCAAAGACATCACCATGAACACGTCAGAATATGACCACCAATAGCACATGAGGCAGTAACGATAGACAGGACGTACTGCTGAGCCCACCTGTAAACTGAGGACTGAGGACTTGTGGGTTGTGCAACAAGTCCCTCCACAGCAGCTCCATCTCTGGGATCCGAGCGACATTCTGTAGCAGACGAACCAGATCTCTGCCAATGATTAGGCACTCCATGAACTACACAGAAACAAAGAGACAGGGTTTCCAAGGTGACAACGAGGTTCTGAACAGACACCAGATCTCCCTTCCTCTTCTTTTTACCAACCTTTTCCCGCAGCATGCTGATGCAGAAGTCCACTTCTTTCTGACGCAGAGGCAGCAAGTTGGGCGCTCCATGATCGACAATCAGACGGAGGTAGGTGTACACTGACATCGCTATTAGCATCCCACTTTTCAACACCCACTCCCTTCAGAGAGCAAAACATTCAGTTCCTTCATGACAAACTTAAAGTGCTTTACCAAAGCTGAAAGCATGGATGTGAGCGGGACGTACTTTTGATCGACGAGGATTTCCAAGACGTTCTCTGCTAACCAGAGGTTCTTTGTGGAGATGTCTCCTCCTGCAGGAATAAATACCAACATCAGAACACACACAGGGCTCGGATTTAGAACTAAGAGATGAAGGCTGTGCAAGTCTGACCTGCGATCTGTTTCATAAGAGTCATGATGACACCATCGGCTCCCATGACTCCACTTTTGACCAATTCTTTGACCAGCCACACCAGCTGCAGAGAGAAACCCCGTCATTAACAACAGCAGCACCGAAAAAAGGACTTGGGAGACGAGTTCCCTACTGCAGGATAACACTGCCTTTTACCTGTGATCTTGGAACCTCCTGCAGTTTGAGAAATTTCTCCATCAGGATCTGGTTGATTTTCACCAGGATGATGTTCATTCCATCCCTGTTGACCAGTGTCAGGTCCCTGTAGCACTGTTCCAACAAAAGCAGTCAATGAGAAAGCGCTGATGCTAGAGTTACAGTTATATCAAAGTGACCAAACACGAGGTGGAGACTCACCCTCGTGGCCTGTGTCGGCTCTGTGAGGACCAGGGTGAATAGACCCAGACACACCTCCTCATGCTGCTGCTGTCCTTTACACACCTAAAGATATGGTGCAGGTCACGTATATTAGCTACTGTTCAACTGCTGCAACATGATTTCACACTGAAATTTATGAAAAAAAAAAAAAAACTTAAAGTTTTAATTTTAATCCCAAATGAAGAAATAGCTCTCACAGGACCTTTGGAAGAGAAGCTGGCCCACAGCATCACGAATTCCCCACCGTGTTTAGCCATTCCCCCCACAAAGTTTAAAGTAGAAATGATGGAGGCATTTAACTGAGTTTAAATTCTTTACTTTACTCTTCTCACTGTGTTTTTTTCTTTTGTATAAAAATGTGTAAAATAAAAACAAAAAAAAACAATTCACATGTTCAATACATTTTTCAAATTATTATACAATTTCACATTATTTATTGACTGCATCTTAAAATATTAAAGATCACTAAGCTTTAATTCGGTTGTTTATATTAGGAAAGGGACAGCATGATTACAGACAACCAATAAAAATCAGTCTGAATATAGGTTAACACAGCAAATATTAACAAAGGTTTTTGTTTGGAAAAATCTCAAGTATTTTTTCCTAAAATTCCGTGTAAATTATAGAAAACGTATGAAGAGTGTTTCTTACGCTGGCAGTGAGTGCATCGTTTGCCTCCCTTTCCGACAGCCCATTGCTCAACGTCTGGACGATTCCAACACAGCGCTCCAACCTCTGCATAAAAATAAACGGGAATCATCAAAACACTGATTTTATCTGTCCATCCAGACCTGTGTGTTAACAAGCAATGATGATGGATCACATCTCCAAAAGAGGAAACAGAAAAAAAGAAGTAAGCCTACTTTGAAAAAGATTCACAGTTCAATTGCTTCAGTAGGAAAAAAACTGAGCATCTCCAAACTAACGCAGGTTTGGTGTGGTTGAAAAGTATTAGCAAAGCTTTGTAGGGCAGACGGATAAGATACCGCTTTTTTTAGGACAATCTGACCCCATTAAGTTTTGTTTATTAGCTTGTTTCTGACTGAACCAGTTATAAATACCAACTAAAGCAAAGTATCTATGATTTAAGCAAATGGCAGAGGTCATTGGGCTTTTGGCTAAATAAATTAATAAGGAATTATAAAAAAGTGTTAAGGATGCAAATAAAAGGCAGTGTTACACCAACTATGGTAATTAACAATGAAAAGAGAATACAGTCATATTCTAGTTAACACCCGCTAGGCTGGTCTTGGTTTAGTTTTGAAGTATTACTTAGAGCTATCAATTAAATCAAAACACAATTTTCGTCACAGTGTTACACAATATAAGACCACAGAGGGCTATAATATTTAGTTGGATATTAAGTTTCATTGATCAGGCTTTTTGCACTTTCTACTGGACCAGTTGGATGGACCCAAACCAGATCTTATGATCTTAATATTGTTTATTAATAGCTGGTTAAGTAATCAACTCTACAGAAATAGGTGGAGACACTGATTATGAAAGGAAAGTTCAAGCAAATATCTGCTTACAATAAGGAATACTGTGATTCCAAATACAAAAAGAAGTTTTAAAATTAGTGTTTTTTTTTAAATAATGTGCAGCCTATTTTCAAAATAACTCTAGCCTGTAAGAGTTCAGGTATAATGCTCTGGGTGAAGAATTTTACAAGGGCTGGGCAGTTAATCATATTTGGTTAAAGCTAGCAAATAGCATGACAGAAAAGGCCATGCAGACCCCTAAATAGAAGGTCATGAAAACAATGAAACCTTGGAGTGAAACATCTACAAGCAAAGCAAAACTCCCTTAAGTTGTCACCTAAATAGTGGCTTTTTAGCCATGCTGCATGGAAGAAGAGCAGAACACTCTACATTGCTCGGAAGGCGAGGATGTGATGATAGAAAGGAGGAGGACATTAGTGAAAGATATTCTACAAGAATAGCAACAAGCACGGTATATCGGGAGGCTTTTAATGCCCTTCATGGAGTCCAGGTTAAACACTCCTCTGAGCAACCAGATCAACCTGTTTAAAAGTGTTCAAAACAGCAGAAAGTCTCCCCCTCCACATTGTTGAATGGCACTAAAAAAGAAAACTATATCACTGTATACACTGTATAAACTATATATATTGTCCACTTGACTGAAATGAAAATTAGTCTGAAAGCATGTGAGGGCTTTCAAACAAATATTCATCTTTAACTATTCAGTAAACTAATAAGCTACCTTTGTGTTGTATCTTTTAAATAAGTTGAATAATGAGTAATAAAACATGTTTTGCTTATTTAATCAGAACTTTAAACTGCTGGAACAGTAAATAGATAGAACATAATGATGTATTCTATTTCTTTTAACACAGCATGTCATAAAAAACTATTTAGTCCTTCAGGTTACTAAAAGATCTTTATACAAGAAAGCTCTTAAGAAAACAAACACTTTTTAATTTACTGCTAGTAGATTGATAAAGTCAAACTTTGGATTAATTAAATGTTATCACCAATGGAGAGGTAAGTTTAGAAACAAGTCACTACTAGAGCTGGGTATTTTCGCCAAAGTCCTTAATCGATTTGATTTTGATTCATACAGTTCTAAATCGCTTAATTTTGATTCCATCTGTTTTTACAACAATTAAAGTGGTTCAATTGTGTTTCAAAATACTCATGTATTTAATTTTTTCCTGTCATATTAAACGGATTTACAAGTCCAAACTTGTAAATCGGACAGTTTAAACTTGAGATGTGAACAAAACTATCTCAAAAGTGCAAACTTGTTTGTGAAAAGTGAAAAAAGTGAAGCCTCACTCGAGCAAGCAGACCTGACACGGCGGGGACACAGAAGACATGCATGATCTGCATTATCTTCCCTGTACAAACTATATTTGCAGCGTGGTCTGTAACAACTACAGGGTGTTTGCTGTTCAGTATCCATTTGTTAATGTCTTTGGTCAACCTATTGGCTATATTTGCAGCTGTCTGGCTTGAAGTAATCTTGAGTGCATCTTTCCTGCTCATATGAATGTGAGCGTCACTATAAAACTTATCAATCTCATTCCCTAGACATCAATTTTGCAAAAATGTAAAGGAATCGATTCAAAATCGATTAAATCGATTTTTTTACCCAGCCCTATGCACTACTTTCTGTTTGCTCATTTTACACCAACGGTAAGTAGCCGATTGCAGAGCCTGAATAATAACCAGCCATCATAGCATTTTAGAGACCCAGTGGAACATTACACAACATTCTACACCGAGACCAGCAATGCTAAAACCTAGAACCAATACATGACAAGCCTATTAATAAACAAATGTTAACAACAATAAGTTGCAAGTAAAAAGAAGCCTTTTTTTTGGTTTGAATAAAAGCAACACAGTGTTTGATTTGAATTTGTGTGATAATAACATGACACTGAAGTATTTCTACAAATTATATTAACTGCAAATCTGCATTAAATACAATAATAGATTTGACAAATACAACTACAGGCTTAAGACTGAAACCAGGAAGAAAAGACATTTGTTTCATCACTTTTGTCACCCAACAGGTGACAAAAGCAAAGATTGTTGAATAAAATAAACAACTCTAAAAGGCTTTCAAAAGCTCTGACATGTGAAACAAGGCGCATGCGCACCTGTCACATAGCTCTCATCCATATGTTTACGTAGCATTAGCATGCTAAGTATATTCCATAAACTTAAGAGACTTATAATAACAAAAGCAGCGTATATTAGAGCCACAAATCCACCAAACAAACTCTACACTTCAATCTCTTCAAGCGTTAAATCACCAACAATGTATTCACACTCTTCACAGGTCTATTCCTATAAACCACCGCTGCTAACCTTCTGCTAGCGATGCTAACTAGCCTGCTAGCAGCAGCACTTAATAAAAATGGTTCCATCATGTCTTTGTACCTTTGGCTTTTTTTAAACAATTATAATTTAATCGACTCTTGCACAGTCCCGTTCTGTCCTTCTTCACCCAGAATGAATTTATATATAAAGGCTACCAGCCCTGATCTCCCTACCTCTTCTAACTCGTCTTTGGCATCCAGCTGGGTGGACACCAGGAGCCGGCCCTGTGGCTTCGCCTTTGCCGGTGCAGGCTCCATCTGCTCCCGCCGCGCCTCGCCGGGGCCCCGCGGAGCTCTGCTGAGCTGTGCTAGCACTACCGTTTCAGTGATGTTGTGCGTGTCTATATCGATGTAATGGAGAATCACAGGGGCTGTGGCCCGGGTCAGAGCCTCGCTGTGAATCACTTCGGCCAGTTGATATGTGTTTTTAAAACTTATTTGGAGGCAGCTTGGGAAACCATTCTGACTCCGTAACACCGTCCGACCACAGTAACATAACGGACATCCGCACAGACAGAGCTGGCGTATGGGGCGTGAACAACGCAGCCCAGGAGCCAATCAGGTTACGTGATGGTATGAGTGACATCAAGAGCATCCAATAGCAGGTGAGGATATCAGGGGCCAATCCCTGCTATTCCATCCAACCATCCACCTGCATGGAAACCACTTCACCTTTTTACAAAGAACCTATTAAAAAAAAAAAAAAAAAAAAAAAAGCACACTTGTAATGAATAAATTCTATATTTTAAGAAAACTACCTTACAATACAACAGCTTCCACTTATATTGAACAAAAAAAAATCAATAATTAGCTCAATTATTTAAGTTGAGAGACAAAATCCATTCATGTTTTAACGGTATTAGGTAGAATGGTTGTTTTGTTTTTGTAACAATGTTTCAGATTAATGTAAATAAGTCACTTAAATCTTTTTTTTAATGTAATTGTGTCCTTTGGATGTGAATGGAAAATAGCAGACATATTGCATATATTCCAATTTTTTCTTGTCACCAAACACAGCAAGCAGGTTGGAGGTGATTAAAAAACTCACACTGCCCACTTTAAGGTGGATGTTCTATGATTCTGTATATCTGTTTTCTTTTAGAATACCATTGGAGCCCTTTAACAGTGCATTACACTACAACCTATTTGATTAACAAAAGTAAAAATGTAAATAAAAATCACATAGCCTCTGCCAGTATAAAGACTCAGTTTGCAAATTAACATAAAAATAGTTCAGAGACACACAATTAACCCTCTCTAATGGTCATCTCATCCTTAATCCTGTTGAAAACCTGTTGACTGAACTATGGAACACAAAAAAGTATCCATGATCAATGACGCTTGATGTTTTAGGGAGATCATTCAAAACATAATGCTCAAAGATCCCTCTTTTTAAACTCCAGCCTTGTTAGATGTTATATGATATGACTAAAATTATTTTTTGTTATTTTAATTTAATAAAAAGAAGTTATTAATCCCAAAGGGAAATTAAATGTTGCAGTAATCTGTGGGCAGTTTTTTTACGAGTTGTTATAGGTGTTGAAAGCTGTAGGCAGGAAGGATCTTCTGTATGGTCTGTCTTGCAATTTAGGGCTCAAATGACAAAAATATGACAATAACTTTAAAAGAGAAGTAGTTTTTGGGGGGGTTTTATCAGTTTTTCCTGACAAAAAAAATATTTCCTACTCAGAAAAGTACATTTGCATTTGTACAACGTTATCATTGTTATATTTTACACATCTTTACAAGTGGTGCTAATGAACAAGGTTGGATCTTTATGGCTGGAAGTAAAGGCTTTTACTTGTGTAACCTTCTAAACCTCAATATAAAACTATTTATACACTTCAAATTAATTCTGAAAATTAATTTGATTTGTGCACTGGTTAGCCATACTGATGTTAGTCGTCTGAAACAGAGGCTGCTAAATGATCTCTATACATGCTTCGATGCCATCATCGACAACTTTGATGTTTACAAGGTGGTAAAAAATATTTAGAGTTAAACTTCGCCTTTTGGACTTCAGTCTGGTTGGATGTTGTTAAAAGATCAGCCTATTTAAAGTTGAATCCATTTTGAATGACATAGATAGAAACTTCCATTTATACACTTCGTCCATTTACAGACTTTTACACCGAATGTACATTTACATATAAATTACCTTCTAAACAGATTTCACCAGAAAACACTGCACATTTAGTGGCTTCATAATAAAGAATTTGATGCATTTAACTTGGACTTTGTGTGACAGACCAACACATATTGGAACATATTTATGAAGTTTAAAGAAAAGGTTTTTAAAATCCTTAAAATAAAAAAGGGTGAAATGTTTTGCATTAATAAATATTCGCATCCTCCTATTAGTATGATACCCTACATAAAATCTTGTGCAATAAATGGTGTGCAAAACACTGAACAAACTGCTAAAAAGAGGCTAAATCCTGATAATTAAAACCATCTGTTCTGGGAAGGTGTCAGAGGTGTCATGGAGAGTATTAGTAAACGAACGGCATCATGACTGACAAGAAACACACCGGACCATAGTTGAGGGAACGCTGCAGGTTCGTTAAAGCAAAAAAATATAAGCTTCACGTATCTCATGTAAATCTGCTTATGACTAACCTATTGCTAGTCAGCAAAACTCACAGGCTGGACAAGGAGACTATTAACCAGACAAGGTTCAGGTCTGGTGGGAAAATCTATTGAGTCGACAGTTGCAGAGGTGTCAAAAGTATTCATGTTTATCACTGAAGTAGAAGTAAAAATCTTACTGTTTAAAAACATTTTTGTAGAGGTTAGAGTATCAGCTTAAGCTTTTTACTCCAGTAAAAATGCAACAGTACCTCACTTAAAAGTACTTAAAGTATAAAGGTAAAAGTAATTCAGGAAAAAATGTAAAGGAAAGATGCTTTAAATCTCACACTGGTTACTGCACTAATTTTTCCACAATTCTGGATGATAACTTACTAAAGTTTCTTAGTTTCATAAATAACGGTAACAATGTCAATTTCAACATTGCATTATCTTGAAAAAATATATTATTTGGTGCGTGGTGAATAACAACTTGTTGCAGCACCGAGTCTAACCACAAAGAAACTAATTGTCTGGATAAAACAAATTATTTAGATTTTTTAAATACCAACAGGCCATAAAGAAGATAGGCTTAAATGAAACAAAAATAATGAGTCTTATTTTAAAATGTAAGGAGTAGAAAGTAGAAATAATTGCTAAAAAAATGTAAGGAGTAAAAGTAAAAAGTTGTCTCAAAATAATTACTCCAATAAAGTATAGATAGCCAAAATTTCTACTTAAGTGAGGTAACAAGGTGTTTTTACTTTGTTCCTTGACACCTAGACAGGTTGACTTGTTCCGTCCACAAACCTGGTATTAATGAAGTGTTAGTCAAGTGGGGGATACAGCAACAAGTGAATGATCATCTGTTTAGATCCTCCTAAACAGACCACTCCAAGAGTAAAACATGATGGTGGCAGAATTATGCTGTAGGGCAGCAGTGAAAGGAAACTAGTCCAAGGTTAAGGGGAAACTGGACTGAGCTAAATACAGGACAAGCGTGAAAGAAAACCTGTTAAAGGCTAAAACACAAAAGAGTTAGAAGGAGGTTCACCTTCCAGCAGGACAACCATAAAAAACCATCACAAAATACCAGGAGCTACAGCGGATTGGTTTAGATTAGAGCACATTCATGTGTTAGAGCCTCCCAGTCAAAGTCCAGACTTCAATCCATCTACCAGAAAGTGCCTTTGTAAACACTTAAGCATTGACGTTTGTAGACGATCTCCATCCAGCCTTATTGAGCTAGAGCTACTGGGCAGCAACAGAGACATAACCCAGAAGAATGTATTTACTGAGGAGAGGAGAAGAGCAGGACACTTATAGTTTTATAACTGTGAAAAGTTTCGCTTTCTCATCCACTTATATGCAATTTATGTTGGTTTGTAACATACCTACCAATTAAAAAACGAAAAACATCAGAATCTCTTTGAAAAGTTTGAAACAATCCAGTGACCCTTGAGAAAAACCCCCAGCTATACATCATGGTAAAAATGCAAACTCCACACAGAGAAACACCAAGAGACATTTGAACAAAAGTAACAATACCCATTTTATTTTGTATTTACACAACTTACTTTTGGATGTTTTATCTTACAGTAAAACATTTGTCTTGTTTGTATCTGTTCATTTCAACAGTTTATTTCTGGTGAAACCAGCTTGGATGAGTCAGTTGCTAATTTGTCTTCTGGACTGTTGTCAGAAACATCCATCCGACTGGAGAAACGGGACACAATTGACTCCCAGCAATCAGATCTAGGTCATTTCTTCTCATTTTCTCCCAGCAGCCAGTATGTCCTCATGCGTCCTTTGCCCTTTACTTCGATTTCCCCTCGGAGTTGTAGCTGGAAGCAGCTGAACTCCAGCAGGACCTGACGAGTCGCCTCCGACACGTGAATCTTTAAGGCTGAGAGGACACACATATCTGACATTAAAAGGTGCTCCAGTGTAAATATATGACTTCTTTTTCTAATAAATCCATTTCAACTCCTTACAGCCTCCCCCCCTGAATTGCAAAAGATGGACAGAGGCAGTAATATATTGCAAAAATGCATATTTCTTAGATACTGACTCTGATCAGTAAAAACCCCTGACAACAGATACTTATTTGGGATGGAGCAAATAATTATCACTGATATCAAACAAGATAATTAATGAAAGAAGTGATAACTTGATGGGCAGCAGATGAACTGATTAACAGATGAATAACAGCTGTAAGGGACCAGGAAACTGGGGGTTAAGCTACTTTTTACGAGTATCCGAATGTTTCGTGGATGACAAAGTAGTGGTCTTAAAACTTCTCACAATGCACCTGGAAAAGTAGTTTGCATCCATGGTCACTAGACGAGCAGCTATATCCCAGAATGCTTTGCAAGAGCCCTCCTTGCAAAGCATAATAGGATAATCTTTTGGAAAGAACAAAGATGGCGCAGACACTGAAGAGAAATGTGACTAAGTTTAGCTGCCATAACGAATGGCTAAATATATATGTATATATATATATATATATATATATATATATATATATATATATATATATATATATATACTTATATATATGTGTATATTGTGCAACAGAAACATATAATTAACATATAATTAGTGTTTGCTTAAAAATATTCATGCACCATTGATTGAAATCTGCATGACAGTTAGATGAAGTTCTAACCTCTGAATCCTATTGGTCTAAACATGTTTCTGCAGGTCTTACCCTCTCCTGTGGACTCCATGCGTGACGCAGTGTTGACTGTGTCTCCAAACAAACAGTACCGTGGCATTTTTAAGCCAACCACGCCTGCACACACAGTCCCTACAGAAAAAAAATACACACCAACATGGTAATGATTTGTGTAATCTTGTTTCTTTGTAGTTTGATGCTGTTTAGTACGAGAGAGTTTGCATGCGGCTGTACCACTGTGAATGCCGATGCGAAGCCGAAGCTTCTGATCAGGCCGGTGTTGAATTGTGAAGCTCTTGACTGCGTCCAGTAGAGCCAGAGACATCCGCGCGACCTCCCGCCCGTGCTGCTTACCGTTCCTGACTGGCAGACCTGACACCACCATGTAGGCATCTCCGATTGTCTCCACCTGAGCAGACCAGATTAGACTGATCTTTTAACTCATCCAACCAGACTGAATAGTCCAAAAGTAGAAGTTTTTTTTCCCACCTTGTAAACATCAAAGTTGTCGATGATGGCATCAAAGCATGTATAGAGATCATTTAATAGCGTCACAACCTGCAGGCAGACAACATTCTAATCAATACACACGTTTTCACTTTTTCAATACATTTGCTGGAATAGTTTTTTTTCATTGTTTTAAAAACACAGAAAAGATCCTGTTTAACTTTTGTGAATAAGGATAAAAAAACAACAACAATGTGATCAAACTCCAGAGAAAATGGGGAAGTTGTTGGCACTCAAATGTATTCAACAATTTCTCCTGTCACATCCATAAATAGACTTTTTTGTTCTTCCATGTATTTTCAACAGGAACTGTCTCTGCAATATGTGATGATTTAACACAAAGCAAATCAAAATGCTATGTGATTTTTAGGACCTTCTACTAGATGTTTTTTGTGTCCTGATGATCAGGTTAATGCTCTCCTTGGTAGCACTGTCAGCTTAGGTGGACAGCCATGTCTGTGAAAGGTGAAAGGGTCCCTGATACTTGACAGCGACTTCTCCATTTATAGACAGTTGGTTGAACAGAGCTTTAAAGACGTTCCAACTTGGGATGCTGTTTGAACATTTACATTTTCTTTGATCTTCTCTATAAATGTCTACCTGACCTATTTGCTGATCTTATTTTTGGTCTTTGTTTGCTTTTTGTTTATTAACGTTCTCCAAAAAACCTTGAAAGTCTTTTACAGGAGAGCTTTATTTATACTTAGATTAAAACACAGGTAAAATGTGTTAACTGATTAGATGACTTTCAAAGGGAATTGTTTGCATTAGATTTATTAAGATAAAAAAAACTGTAGTAATTTCAAAAGGAAATCAGATGCAGTATTTAAATTATTTTCTACCCAATCTTGGTATGTCACATAGAAAAACCCCCAAAACCCAATGAGTTTTATGATATGATAGAAATAAGCTGATGTTCATTTAGTCTGATTACATTTCTTAGATTCAGTAAATCTGAGGTGTAGTTGTGACTTTCCACCACTAGATGGCAGCCTGATTCTAAACTCTGGATTTTCTAATTTCAAGCGTTCCAGTTAAGCCCTGATCCTGATGGCTTCTACCAACCTGCATTGGTGTGCTCTCAGCAGACAGAGCAGTGAAGCCAACGATGTCACTGAAGTAGATGGTGACCGAGTCAAACGCTTCGGCCTGAACCGTCTCGCCTCGTTTTAGCTGGTCGGCCACAGAGCTGAAACCCAAACACAGATGCATTCCAACTGTATTACAGGACCTGATAATTCGAGCTGCAGTCTGCATACTGTTCTGGAAACACAATCGTTTTGACTGAGATAACGGTAAAGTGCAGTTACTGTGGTAGTATCTGGTAGAGCAAAGCCTCGGCCTTGCGTTTCTCCTCGATGTAGGCTTGAGTTCGTTCCTCCACCAGCTCCTCCAGGTTGTTGGCGTACTGCTCCATACGAGAAAGCAGGTTGTCCAGGATGTTGGAACCATAACCTCTGAAAACACAAATTTACAACAACAAACAGATTTCATTGGTCTTCACTGAAGACTGAATTATCTCTAATTTCTGACTTTCAAATTGTATAACTTAATTATAAAACTCATTTTACTTTAATCTGAAAAAGAAATTTCTTATTTAAACCTTTAGATTATCTTCATTGTGTCACTGCATTTGACTGAATTGTTTGTAATAACCAGTAAATAAGTTAAAATTAATCAATAAATTTTAACAGTATGTTTTTCTTCCACATGACTTTCCATTAATAAACATACACGCAGCACTATGTGAACAACTAGCTGCTTTCGATTATCAATATTTCTGAGGGCCATAAAGTAGACGCAACGTAACATTTCATTATATTCGGTATTAAAACTAAAATCTTTTTGGTATTATTTATTATCTTAGTTAACAAAGAAAGGGGAAAAATCAAGGGGAAATTAAGAGGTAAAGATGTTTGAAATGTGTCATATAAAATTTAGTGAATATAGATTTAGCACATAATGTAAAGAAATCCTTTTTTTAAAGTAATGTAATTTTTCTGCACAGAAGAGGATTTGGGCAACACTTAAAAAAAAATCTTCTCCGAAAATGATGAATTACTTAAACAGAAAAATGTCAAAATTTAGAGAAACCATATGAATTTTGAAAGTTTTATTTTTTCCACAGTTGCCAAAACACTATATTATCTTTTTATTATCATGCTTTAAAAAAAAAAAAAAAAGTCCTAAACAGTTTGTAAATATTTTTTTCCCCTTTTAAATGTTGCTAGATTTGTAAGGAAAACACATTAGTGAATGGAGTACCGGTATATGGAGTCGTAATCATCTCTGCTGAAGACAAACCGCTTCCTCTGACTCTTGTTCAGTGTCATTTATTGAGTTGACTGATTAAAACATAAAGAACAGCATGTCCAATCTGATCCCATTATTGTTCATTTTAATAAAGCCAGGACCATTCCACCCTCTGTGATCTCATATCTGGACGTAGTCTCTGATAAAGTCAGCATTAAATAAAAAAAAACAGTGATTCCCAACAGGGGGTACTTGTACCCCTAGTGGTCCGCGAGTGCATTGCAAGGGGTACATGAAAATATTTTATTTCTCAGATAATAAAATAAAAATAAAATAGGGATAGGATCTGTTCTACTTTGTGAGGATCCATCTAAAACATATTTACGAGATTCCTTAATAATTTCCAGGCAACATATTTATGTTGTTGCTTTTTAAATCTGAGTTGGATAGAATAACATGCCAAAGAATGAAATGCTCAAGGTAAAAAGATGTCATCAATACATTTGAATGAGAGTAAGATAATATGCCTAAAGGGGTACACAAGTGAAAAATCTGGAAACACTGTCCTAAAATATATAGTTTGGACTCTCAGAGCTGCAAAATCTAATCTTTATATATTTGGATGCATTAAAATTGCATGCAGTGAAAACATCCCAATTTTGTCCATTGAGGGAAATACCATCCCACACCATCACACTCCCTCCACCAAAAGCAGCTTTTCTCAGGCAAAAACAACACAACTCTGCTCGACCTATAAATGCATTTTCTTCACAAAAGTAGTACTATTTTAGTGCAAATAAACAGGCTTTTGCACAGTATTACCAAATGTATTGTTACAACTGAAAATCCTCTTTTTTCTGTTTCATCCAAGTGAGTTACTCAAATAAATTAACTCAAGCTAATTTATTCAACCCCCCCTTTATTCTTATACCACTGTGTTTCCTTTCTCACCTGTGCTGCTTTCTCAGGAGGATCTTAATGGTGTTAAAGTCGGGCCTCTCGCTCGGTTCTTCGCTCCAGCAGCGCTGCATGAGGACCCCGAGCTCCTCACTGTGACTATGGAAGCAGAGGGAGGGCCGCAGAGGGGGTGCGCCACCCTGAATCACTGCCTGGATGATCTCTGTAAGTGTTGGATGCAGGTCCATCAAAAAGGTTTGTCATACTCTTTCACTATTACTTCCATAAACTCATTTTTCAAAGAGACATAAATAGGTTAACATTAACAATCTGTTGGAGATATATGAGGCGAGTTCTAACTGTACATGTTTAACTAGTGTACTTATGTTTGACAAAGGCTTTATCCAGAACATATTAACTTAAAAAAGTGAGCCTCTCCACCCATGAACCAAAATGACCTACAGCTGACAGGTGGTTACTGATAAATATTAAAGGGCTTTGCTGTTCTGGAAACCCACCTCCATATGAATCAGTTTGATTAACTGCACACAATAAGCCTTAAAGGTGATTTACTTTTGGTTTATCCTCTATTTCATCGCTTCGTTATGGTTTGTTTTTGTTCAGAGTATTTTTGTTTTTGTATGAGCGAATCCAGTTGCTTCTGATAATGTAAACTCTTAATAATATTTTCAAAACCAGGAGGCATTTTGTAAAAAGCACAACCTTAAAGCAGGTTTCTTTGCACTTTAAATTCATATTTTATTCATTTTTTTTTTATTGGTCTAATATAATATCTTGATTTCAAATATTTTGCTTTTGTTTCCTGTAAGTGGAAAAGTAAGAGTGGTTTACGTAGAGAATCGAGTTACTGGAGAGCAAAATGACCTTTGTGTTAATATTTTAGTGAGTAACTGTTTATAAATTAGTCTGTTAATATCTCAATATCCTTTTAAAAAAAAGGCCATTGCCATTTTTATTTTGCAGTAAAAACTACCAAAACAATGTAAATAGTACCTCGTTGGTTCAGATTAAAGGTCTAAGGGATTTTGAGAATCTCTTAGTTTTTCCTTTTTTTTTTAACTGTTACTAAAGCTACATATATTTTTTTACAGAAGTGCAGATAACACCTGACACAGGCAGGGTACGATCTGACGAATTATTGACATGTCGATGGCTGCGGCCCATCAAGCTGCCACACAGGAATGTAAACAACACAACGCTTTCATCGTATTTTATGTTTCAGCTCATAGATTAGAGACGTTGGACTGCGCTTGGGTCCGCCTGCTGTTCAACACTGACCTTTAGGAGAGAAGGAGTGTGAGTCGAGGTAGAAGACTCCCTTTAGCAGTGCAACCTCCTGAAGGATCACACCAAAGCTGTAGACATCCCCCTTCTGGGTCCCACAGGCAGGCGGACACTCCTCCCTCAGGAGCTCAGGAGCGGTCCACAGTTTTCCTGTCACGAAAAAAACTGTTTACTCATGACAAAGCCTTGAACTGTTTTAAAATAGGAGCTATTTTCATTTCACTTCACGACACAAAACGCCCATGTTCTTCTTTAAAACTTACAAACGGTTTTTGAGATTTTTCCTAACAATTAAATAATTATCTCCATTTACTTTAAAATTCAGTGGAAGATATTTCTCAGAGAAATGACCAAATTGGTGTAATTGAAGATGTTCTGTGAAGGTGTCAGAGAAAACATTAGTAGGCTATAATAGATCAGGGATTCAGCAGACTAGAAAAAAGTGAGAGGTTATCAGGCTTTGAACATCCTGCAGAGAACCGGTCATTAAAGGTAAAATGGAGGATGTTCTTTGTTCTTTATTTATCTAAATAATTGGTCCTCCTAACTGTCAATCATTCTGGTGATACGTTTTCGTAAGGCCGTCCTATGTGATCGTCCCCATTTTCACTGTGGTGAGTCTGACATATTAGAAAAATTGCAAATCTTTTGGAAAGAAAGATCGAATGAGCAATGCAAACAGCAACTTTTAAACAGAGTGTGCACGTGGAGAAATGGGCTTGTGTATGCTCTTGCATGCGTTTAATAGGCGTTCCCTCTCTGGAGCGGGTGTAGGGTTGTGCATGTGCATTTTCTTTCAAAAGTAGAGAGGTCGGGTCTTTTCAAAAATTCATGAAAATCCTCCAATATACCTTTAAGCGTATGGCAGTAACATGGCTATCCACCTAGGACCTTTCAAGAGAGCAGCAACAGCTCAAATTTAAAGAAGCAGCTTAATCTGCCAATGGTGACTTTAGATGAGCTGCAGAGATCCGCAGACTCCCACTAGAGCTGTGCAATTATTACCTCAGTAATATATGCAATAATTCAAGCGTTTTTGAAAGGGAGGCAAGTAGAAATCTATTGTTGAAGGAAAGCAATTTGAAATCCTGTCGAAAATTGCAAACATGTAGGCGAAAAAATAGCAAACGTGTGTAAAAGGGGGACTCTGTAAAGAAACGTGTGAGGAGGAAAAGCAACCAGAGGATAACATCCTCTTGCTGAAACATAGAAGAAGCAGCATCATGCTATGGGAATACAGCAGAAACAGGGAAACTATTCATAGTTGATGGGGAGATATACGGAGCTAACTAAAATACAATCTAGGAACAAAACTTGCAGAATACTTTAGACGGCGGTGAAGTTCAGCCTACTAGCAGGACAACAACCCTAAACATGCAGCCAGATTTACCATTGGATGGTTTAAAACAATAATGATCCATGCACTAAAATGGTAGTGTAATTTATGTTTACATGGAGCTCTCTAATCTGATTGAGTCTGAGGTAATCTACAATAAAAGTCATTATTTAGCTGTTTATACTTGCTAAGAACTTGTTTCCACAAACATGCCATTGTGACTGCAGCAAATAGGTGATTCTACAGTTTTTAGTAAACAATTGCACAATAATTTGTGTTTAGCTGTAAAATAAATCCAAGTCAAAATGCTTAATTCATCCCCAAACGCAAACACATGTGTGCGAAACACATTAAGTGTGCAGGTTTTTCCTACGTGCGTAGTAGGCGTACGAGTCCTCGGGATAGTTGCAGGTCCGCAGACTCTGCAGTCCGTAGTCTGTAATCTTCAGCACAAACCGACTGTCCACCACACAGTTGGAGGACTTCAGGTTGCCGTGGGATACAATGACGCTGTTGTGGAGAAACGCCATTCCCTGAAAAAGAAAAAAAAAACAAGATGTAACAGAGTTTCTGATTAATAAAATAGGGTTATTGATCAGGGAAATATGGCCAAAATGGGAAATAAAAGGTGCATGTGAAACCTGTAAAAAGGCTGATCTGTTGCTTGCTACATCTAAATAGTATTGTAATGTGAGAGTTTAATATTTTTTATTATTGAAGTTTAATTGTAGAACTGCAAAAAAGAGAAAAGCTAAGACAACAAATAACCCTTTTGAGGTTTTATTTCATATTTGTTTTCTTATTAAATTTTTTTTCCCCCCGCTAATTTAAGGAAATTAAAAACATACATGGACTCATTACGAAAAGTAAAATACATTTGATCACAGCTGCACTTTATGGAATGGAAATCTTCATTTACTGTCTGGAAAGCCGTACTAAACGAAATTTAGTTTTGTATACACTCTGTGTATACAAAATGACAATAAAAGTTGTCTAAGTCAAAGATTTCAAGCTGTTATTTTCTGTAATTTTGATTATTAATGCTATAGAATGTTGTGAAAAAGTTAAAGCTTATTCAAACAAAGTTGAGTCGAAGAAAGTGTGGAAGGAAATGGAAAAACTGTTAACCTTCTGTTATCTACCTTGAAAAACGAGTGCACTTCATGATGCCTTCTGCTAATAAGCTTTATGGAGGTGCTAATTTAATTTTCCAGCATCACTTGACGTCTGCTTAGAATAACAAAGGTTAGTGACCATCGTGTTAACCTGACCCTTCCTGAACACTGTAAAAAAATAAAAATTATATATATATATATATATAAAGGGTATTGCATAATAAATCTTTAAAATGTTCAAGCATCATTATTCATGCTACTGGAACACATTTTCCGTGCCAGTTTTTCCTTGCAGTGACTTTTCTATGAAAAGGCTTGAATAGCGCACTCTGTGAGGAGCTTTACCCTCCATGTGTCACTGACTGTCCTAATAGCTGTTTTGCCCCCTGACAGGTACCGAGGGCCCATTCAGAGGCTCACCAAACCTTTTATTGCTTTTTTTGTACTTAATTAGCTGTTTTATGTTTGACACCACAAGTTTTGAGAAGTTTTCATTATTTTTAAGCTATAATGATCAAATTGACAAGTAATAAAAAAAATATTTTAATGCATGGGAAAGAAAAAAATCAGCTGTACTTGTGCATCACAGATAAGCAATATAAACGCTGACTTGTCTAATCTTTACTCCTCAAACAGCTGTTGTCTACTCTCGGTGGGAGAACAGAAAATGCTCTGTTTTATTGATAAGCTCTGTCACAACTCCCCCTCGCCTAACAGCACTCTCGTTAATTTGGAGCCAGGTGGTTACCTTGACGATATCAGTGATGAGCGAGTATCTGAACATCCAGTCCAGAGTAATGCCATCGCTCTCCATCAGATCCTGAAAAAAACCCCCAACACACACAGCTTTAAACCAACTCTATATTTACTGTTTTATCATCTTCTGTACATGTGGGCTCATGAAACGGCTCTGCTGGCCATCCAGCGATGCCCTGAAGGCACTGCTGGGAAGTTAAACTAGCACGCCCACGCGGAGGTTGTGCCATTAGTGTCATATGTGGCGTACGGGATGATATTTCTGTTTCAGCCAAATAGCAGAGAGCAGGTAATCATCTGAGCAGGAAGACAAGGAAGCTCTCTTCTTAACTAAACTTGATTAAAAAACAAACAAACAGCTCTACCATAAAACCGACTTCATGCTGCACCTTCAAACTGCAGACATGTCTTTACTTTGATGGGTTTGTTATGTGATGCTTTTAGTGAGGAAGTCTGCACGAAGTGGACACTGCCTTCTCATCGCAGATGTTCCTCAGCTGTGCTAAAATAGCATCTCCGTCCTCTCAAGGCAGAAAATAACTCACTCCTCTCTTAAATTCAGCGGACATCTGGCAACAACCCAAACCCCACGCACCCCACAGCAGCTGTTGCTAGGTTACCCTGCTGTGAGGTTGCTAGGTTACAGTGCTGGGAGATAACTGTAACAGTGCAGAGGTCTTCTTAAAAGCCAACTGGAACAAGAGTTTGAGGGGCTGGTTTGTAGTTATGATGTAGAAGAGCATTGATGCAGGGATGATAATAAGTGGTAAAGAGGGGGAAATGTTTCTGCAAAATGTTGCCTTTAAGGTGTCACAAAAAGAAGCACAAAAGTTAGGATTTTTCTATGTTTTTTGAGCAAAGCTCAGGTCCTGTAATCGGACCATGACTGCTTCTCGTGCAGACTAACTAATCTAAACAGATATGAGAATCTGGGTTTAGACAAACAAGAAACTAGTCTAACACCTAATACCTTGCAGGAGTCACAGGGCTAAAATTTCTTGATCTTTTTTGGTGCAACTGTACTATTAAATAATTGTTAAAGTAATATACTAACACTCTGGTATTTTCGATATTAAATAAATCAATAAAATGTTTAATAATATTTATTGAATATCTCTTTGGAGGGAAGTGGTGTAAAATGCTATAGATACTCATGGTTACTGACAGAAATAATGGCATAATGAAAATAAATGTATTTATTGCTGGATGTAATGGTTTTCATCAGTTCATCTGTGCAAAGGTGAGTGAGCCTGACCTGAAGGCTGCCCCTGGGGCAATACTCTGTGATGATGCACATGTGTGGAGGATCAAGGCAGGCACCAATAAAACGAGTCAGATGTTCGTTATGAACGTCTCGCATCTGCAGAAAACAAGAGACTCATATCACATCAAGGCTGCCAACAGTCTAGAATAAGTACACTAAAATCTAATAATAGAAGCTTGGTTCTCAACGACTGGATCCTTACATGCTTCAGCTCAAACAGAACCTCTCTCGTCAGCTCAATGCGCTTCTTGTTTATGTACTTGATCGCTGCCAGATTACCCTAAAGGAAACAAAAATCTTATTCATGGCACTGGAACTTTACTGTGATGCCCTGCATTACAGGATATGATTGTTTTAACGTGTTGACAGACCTTGAGGTATCCGGTTTTGGTGTAGATCTGAACGTTCCCTTCCATGGTCATCAGAGAACCATAGTTTGATCCTTTCTGAAAGCATACAACCAGTCAAAAGTGAAACAATCTGCATAAGTAGGACATTTCGCCCCTAATTAGAGCCAGATTCTGCAGAAATAGTAAATATACTACAAAACCAGTTGTGTAGATTTTTAAAAGAAAAACTATATGGTAACATAACAGAATATGGTTAAGGGATTTGAAAAGTTTCTGTTGGCACAGGATGAAGGGAGACGAAAAGAAAGAAAAAAAAGTCACAGAATGTGGCGTTTAAAGCCTATGAAATGAGATACGTTAACAGTAGTTGACGCTAAAACGATATGTATTTTACCAGCGAAAAGGTGAGTCTGCTGCAAGTTCTCCTCAAGGACTTTTCCAGGTTACTCATCTGGATGTCTTCCCAGGAAACCCTCCACAGCTGGGCCACCAATTCGTTCTCCAGCTTCAACTTCCTATTTAACAGACAGGAGGACAGGTGTGTGTGCGTGTATTTGCAGAGCTGGTGATGCATTAGTGTGTGTTAAAAGAACAAGGGGAAACACCGAGAGAGGCGAGAGGAAGGTGAACCACAGAGAAGGACAGAAATGGAGGCTGTTTTTAAGGTGAAGAGCATTTTTGACAAAACTGAGCCGAGCAGCGACTCAGATAAACATTTGGAATAAGAATCACAGATAGAATTAAGAAACAGCTTTGGTTGGTCCTCATACAATGTGCTGTGAGTTTGGCGAATGATTATTTTTTCAGCACACATAAAAGAAAACCTCAACCTTTAATTACCTCAAAGTAAATAATCATCACATGCATATTTAATGGTTGATCTGTAAACTAATTTTAAGTATTTTTACCCAGGAACTCTGCAAAAACCCAAATATCTTGGTTGACATCTTTATTATTTTCAATAAACAAGAACAGAAATATAGCAAAATGCAAGGCTTTTTTATGTATTAGAGGAACTGTATGAGCAAACATTGCACACAAAATACTCTTACTCAAAACTTTGTAATTTTGTGCATAAAGTACCAGTAATATGAAGTTTGGTGCAACTGTACAAAATAATATACATGTCTGTGGAAAAGTTTGTATTTAGAATTAAACTCTATGAAGTTTGTGTGTATCCCATTACAGATACGATATAAGATCAATAGTGGGGAACTTCAAAGTTTCCGTCACTTTTAATTTTATTTATATATTGCCTTTTGCACAAATCAGAAAGTACTCCCACATCTTATGTTTGGTAATGAAATACAACTTTGCACAACTTTCACCATGTAATCACAAACTGTTACAATCACTTTTATGATATATAAACCTTGTTGATCTCAGGTATAGGACAAAGGGTGAGGCAGCATTAATTTCTGTGCTCCTTTGGAAAAAAACACCTGAAATCCCAAATTGTGCAGAAACATTACAGTTATCTAAATGAGAAATTAAACATTTATTTTTTGATTCATGCTGAAATTTGATTATGATTTTATTATTAGACAAATTGTAATATTATTTATTATCTTCTCTGTATGATAATGTCTTTGCTTTCATTTTCAATCAATCGTTTTATCTCTTTTTTAATATAATCATCTTATTTTAAATATTCATTTTTATTTTCTTTAAACATTTGTTTTGCCTTTAAGTGACTGCAGTGCACTTTTCTTTTTTGCTTTTTTTATGTACAATACTTTTCTGAAATGTGCTATATAAATAAACGTACCTTATTCTTTTCAAAATCCATTTAGCAAAAGACATTATTTGTAATTACGTGCACATGCAGGTGAGATCAGCTTCCACTACTTGTAATAAGAGTAACAACACATCTCAAAAAGCCAGAACATTTTTGGAGTTAAAAAGTCAAACATTCAGATCCTTTGAAATCATTTTTTTTAAACATTTATTCTCGAATGCCTAACTTTGGGCCTTGCTGTGATCTCTCTATTAATGACAGACAGAAGGAATGAGAGAAAACAACAACATAAGAGGAAAAAGAAGGGAGATGATGTGTGAACAAGAGAGGAAGTGGAAGAAAAGAAAAGGGAGAAATAAAAAATAAAATGGAGAGAGAGAAAGGTTCTGTGAGAGACTGAATTACAACTATAAAAATGTGTGTTTTTTCTGGCTTTGAGAGAATCAAATTGAGTTTCTAAGTTTCATATTTAAAATTGTGCACATGAAAACAGACCAAACCGTAGTAAAGATCACCATCATAATGTGAAAGTCTATTTATGCTGGATTTCCAGTGACAAAATTAAAAGGCAGCAGGAAAAACCAAATCAGACACTTTTAAACTTATGAAATAAAAGACAAAAACAGCAGGATCAACCAGACGAAGAACTGCAAATGAAGCAGAAACTGTGAAGAACCCCTGCCAAATAACACCTTTAGGGTAAAACCTTCTTTCATCTTGTTCAATTCCACTCTATAAAACAGAAACTAAACATTCCTTTAAGTTAAACTACCTTTTGTATGATCTGCCTATTACACCTTTCCTGATTAGCTGATTTCTTTTTTTCATTTTATCTAATTTATCAATTGAATTTTGAGCCTTTAAAATTTTTATTTTAAGAGCAAAAACTACAACGATCAACATATAAGATTTATAATTCCAAATCTACCAAGAACAAAAGATTTATAAGGATATTTATATAAATCAACAGCAACTGCTCTCTATGATCTATATTAAATATAATAAACTATAGTTGCTGACTGATAAAGATTGTGGAATCAATTTTTTATATATACACTTCAGTTATGAAGAGATCAGATAAAGCAATTTACCTACAATTACATCGTGCTCTACTTTATAAAACATTTTCTGCATGGTAGTAAATCTACAGGGATTTTTCTAATATTATAATAAATCCTTACTTTTTAAATCAGTATTAAAGAGTGGTTCACCTGTGGACATTCTCAGTCATCCGGATAAGAAAGCTGACTTAAAGGGGAAACTGGCTGCCTCTGATTTAACCCCGCTTTGTTAATATGGCAGCATTTTAGAAACCAAACAAGAAAATACAATATTATGGATTTTAAAGAGAGTCTAAAGTGTTTGAATGGGTAAAATAAGCTTACTTACTTTTAATTCCGCACTGTTGAGAAACAATTGCTTTTTTTGTAGCCAAGTTTAACAAATAGGTCTGCTTTTGAGCCTCTGTAGATGTGTGTTTCGGCATTAAAATAAAAGTAAAAAAAAAAAAACTACAAAACATGGGCAGTGAAGGAAAAAAAAATGCTTTTTGATGCACCTAAAATAAATTTCCATTTAATACAATATCAGTCTGTAAGTAAAATTCTTATCCTTGAAAATAAAAAGATGTCAAACTGCTGCTGCAGTTTCTATTTTCAGACAGAGAATGTTCTGTGCTTGATTAGCAGAATAAGAAGGGCTTTGCTTGGCTGAACTGAATTCAGCTTCTACTGGCCCTACAACACCAGAGCCCAGTTTGCATATTTCCAAGGATGTCAGTGCATATTTTTCTCCTGTCTGCAGTGAAACCCAAACTCTAAGAAGAATCTTAAGCATAAAAAATGCTAATTTTAACTTTTTTTTATCGCCACTAATGCTATCAGTCATAAAAACTAATCCTGTGGTAGAGCAGCTGACATACATGCATTTTTTTTTCAGAATCACAGAAGTTATTGAAAGGTTTTAAAACTGAAACGTAGTGGATACTTAGAATAAGTGCGAGGATCTCACCTGCAGATGAAGACGGTGATGGTGACGATGATGACAAAGACGAAGCAGATCACTATGGCAACCATCTGATGCATTGTAACGGTACCTGTGTGGGCGAGCCAGAGAGGCAGCCAGGATCAGCACGGAAAAAAAAGAAACTCTTTGCTTCAACCGTATTGAAAATAGAGATCTCTGATGCTTCATCAGGAAGTTTAAAGGGTTTTGTTATTTTGCCTATAATCTGCAGCTATGTCTCAGTTTTCTTGCTCATGGCAGTACAGCCCCTCAGATTACATGTCCTTAATGTCTTTAATGTACTAGCACTCGTTGCTTGGCTTGCAAAAGTATTCAGAATCTTTAAGCTTTTACTTTAATTTTGCTGTATTAAAACCAGAAACTTCAAAGGATCTTATTGTGATAAAAAATTATAGACTAATGCCTGACCTGCAGGGATAGGGAATTTGTTTAGTTTATTAGAATATGAAGGAGTTAAATATAAAGTACTCCTTGAAGAAAAACTGGTAGACGCAAGAGGAGGTTTGGGACTGGAATGGGGGTTCATCATAACAGGCAGTTACAGCGAAGGTATCTAAAATTAAAGCTGAACTCTGTAAGTTTTTAAAAATCACTTTTTTGTCATATTGGCTAAAACTGTCCCTATGCCAAGACAGCAGTACATGTGATATGTAACCGGTGAAAAAAACTGCTTCAACTGGTCCCGCATACTGCTTGTATTTCAATCTGGAAAGAATCATTCGGGACGAATCAAAACAACCAATCACAGCCAGAGGAGCGTCTGATGGAGTGTCAATCACTTCAGTCGAAGTCTGCTCTCTTCTCAATGTTACAGACTGCAGCTTTAAGGCATACAGGTGTTAGAATGGCCTAGTCAAAGTCCAGATTAAATTCATCATCTGTGGCAAGGCTCTTCATAGGGACTTGCCACCGTCAGTGTTGTTTTTGACAGCAATCTTACGCTATGTACAAGACCACACGCTGCAGAAGCAGCAGAACCAGCTTGTTTACATTCAAAGTCAAAGGTTGACATGCATCAAGGCGCAGCAAACGGTCTTGCAGCGTGTTTTGAGTAGCAGAAATAGTGCGTCTACGCAGCCAAAGCAGCGTCTCATGAACTTCTGAGCATCTGACACGCATAATGAACTTCAGAAACAGCAGCTGCTGGAGTTGGAAAAATTGAACTTTTGCTGCTCGACGTGCCACATGAAACAGTTTATTAACGCCTAAATTAACCTCAAATGTTGAAACCTGCTGGCAAAATATATTCAATTTTATTATTCTGGTGCCTGCAGTTAACGGTTGAATGGAGCATTAGATTTAGTCTTAGTCTTAAGGACAAAAACTATTAATAGTCTTAGTTGTATTTTAGTCATTACGATATGTGATAGTTTTAGTCTGTTTTAGTCGACTAAAACTTAAAATTTCTTTTTCTAGTTTAACTCGGTTTTATGTTGCAAAAAAAAGTTAACTTTTACAATTTTGAATAACAACCAGATTCTTTACAAGACTTTTATTTAGTCCTGTCTCGTTGATTGAAACTCAAACCTATGACTAGTCATGTTTTAGTGATCAAAGATCCACCTTTAGCTCGTCAGTTTTCGTTATAAAAAAAGGAGTGTCAACGAAATGAGTTTGTCACTGTCATCGTGTGTAACAACTGTCAGCAATGAAACATGGTAATAAATAAGTAGATGGTAGAGGATAGTAGAGATGTTGAACAACAATTTATGGCACTCTTTTTTTAGTTTTATGTTTGTAAAACAAACATTGAAAACAGTGAGGCTTTCCTAAATTAAGTTCCACCTGGTGTTGGTCTTAAAATATGTAAGTAATGTGGTTGTCACAAAACAAACTGTATGGGAAAAAAAATCTTAGGAGCTCATGGTCAATAGGCTGTTTACAGAGAAGGTTTGCGTTCGATTTCTATATATGTGATGTGGACTGCGTTCATACGTGTATGGCAGGCCGGGTTGTCGTTCTTGAAGCCACATTCAGGGATATCTCGTGGCGGTGAACCTCCAGGCCACTGAAGGGTCAGACCTTTCTGCGGGACCAATTCATTCATGCTGCCTTTATACACAGACACGACCTGAAATACACAACAGCAATCATCTGGATCAATATGCCATTTGAACATAACTCCAATATACTCTTTAGTTTGCCCAGGTATTTGATCATAGTCTTGGTACATTTAGTTAGACGTGGAATTTTAAATTTAGTCTTAGATAAAAACACAAACAAACAAAGAAAAAACTACAGGACATGGCATGTTATAATTTGTGCTTCATGTAAACCAGGGGAGCCAAAGATCAGTCTTTGAGAGTAGGACAGTGTCACAAAAAGGTACACATTGTTTTCCTCTTTTCTCTCCTCCCTCTTTTCTATATCTCTCTCTTTCTCTCTCCCTTTAATTCTTATCCCCTGTCCCCTTTCTCACCTCCCTTTCCATCTCTGTGTCTGCTGCATGCAGTTTTATTCCCTGAATCATTGTCTTGATAGTTTGATATAGAAATACCAAGCAGAAGCTTAGGGCAGCAAACATAATGATCTGTTTGTGAAAGAAAATCTGTTTGGTTGTTATCTAGATCTGGGACACCAACTCCCAGAGCTATATTGCCAAAACAGGATACAAAAACAATAGGTAAATGTATGCTCAATCCCATTAAATTCAGCAGGACAAGCTGAACCAGGAGAACCAGGAATGTTGCATATCTGCAGAATTCATGCAATAATTCTGCTGTGACTGACATACTGCAGCATTGACCAATGCAGATGCTTTACTTCCCGCTGTATGCTGAATGCTAGAAGCCACAGGGTAACTGGCTGATTAATTTATCTACTAACTTTGTGACAACTTAGCTTACAATGTACTGATATTTAATTCTAAGGCCAGCTGATATTATATATGAAAGTCAAAAGAAAAAAATAAAAGACACCAGCGACTAAAACATATCCCAGAACTCCAACATTAATCTCAATACACAGGAACAGCTCAGGAGATGATCACATTTAAATTGACATGTTGTAAAGATATGTTTAGACTTAATGACTTTCCAGCATACATAGTAGATAATAAAAGCATCTTAAGAGAACTGATACTACTAAATGTCTCTAAAACATTGATTATGTAAGAAAATTAAAATAGGAGAAGAGTTAAAATCTTTTACAAAATGTTAAGAACCTATTTGCTTTTCAAACTATCCCCCTAGAAGCTTAGCACTGATCATTGCATCTCTTAGTGGATAATTGATTATATTCGCAGGTTGTAAAATAATAATATAGTCAGATGTGCCTTTCATCGGAATTTGGATTTATCTCATTAATAGACCTCTGAAGGATCGATGTGTTCTGATGTAAATCTAACGTAAACCTGGGTGTTGATGCAGACAGGATGGTTTCAAAAAATTCAAGGTGGACAGATAACACTTACAAAATTTCGGTACTTATTTTCATCTAAACTGTATTTGTTTTTAGGATGTTATGCATTGGTAAAAATCTCCCAATCCTTTGTCTTGTGTTTTATGTGATATAATGTATATAAGACGAAAGGTTAAAAAGCACTTTTAGTTAATAAATAATTTGTTTCATAGATAATCTAAGAGTAAAGGTCATTCTTCACACACTGTTGAACCGTGAAGTTCAAAAACTACAATTATTACTTCGCCTGCACACCAGCAGCAGTCGTTAAGTTATTCTTTACCTCATATACTCAATAGTCTTCCAGATTATTATTCTAACAGAACCAGAACTAGTTTGATAGAACCCCTGCTGCCTTTAAACAGAGAAGCCATCCTTCTTCATCAGGCGTTTTACCTGAAACTCTCCAGAGTCTAAATCTGTCATGTCCCACACAGCAAAGTCCATCACTCTGTCTCCAAGCTCGTCCATCTCCACCACTCCCAGCACGCCTGTGGAGACATCACATGTTATCATGCAGTTTCTGTGGGTGATTTTTCTGACACAATCTTTTTTTTTTCACTCGGTCAGCAGTTGTTTGTTTTCTTTTTTTCTCCTGAACATATTTTATTATCAATGACATTTGTGTTTTTATTGTGAGTAAAAAAAAAAAAAGAGTGATTAAAAACAGTTGCTGCTTTTGTTGATTCCAGTCCAGCAAACTGACAAAAGCCAAGAATGTGTCTGAAAAAAAAATATGAGGAGGAGGAGAATCTCAGGTTTCAGTTGTGAGGGCGGGAACAACGCAGCATCCAAAAAAAGTAAAAAAAATCCAGATTTGGAGCAAACTTTAAGCATCCTAAAAGGCATACTGGTATTTAAATCAATGAACTGAATTCCAGATGTGCTTTGCTGCACACATTTCCACCTATTCTGCTCATGTTTATTTATTAAATTCAGCTGAATCCGGTGAGGAAATCTACACCTGACAATCTGATGATGGGAATGTTTTCCTGCGAGAACTTTGCATTTGTAACACATTCCTGACCAGTAAAACCTAACACCTGATTGCTTGTAGCATCCAGATAGAAATTATACGCAGAGAAAATAGGTTTTAAAAGCAACTTCCATGAAAACTAAGCATTGTGAGAAGAGTGGGGAAAGATGTCCAAACTGTTTGACCCAAGTCATATTGTGTTAAAGCTAATTCTGCCAAAGGGGAGGCATATTATTTTAGTAAACATAACTGACTTAAAGAGGATTTATTTTTGTCTTTAAGCTAACTAAATGGCATCTTTATGCTAAACAGATCATTTTTAATCAGCATTACTCTGAGCCTGATAAGCTTCATGGTGGGAAATAATTAAAAGTTATCAGTCAGCAGGTTTTCAGAGGGTTTTCCTCTTCAGAGCAGAGAAGAAGTCAATTAAACTAGTGTTTAAATATAAATCTAATGTGAGAATCTTAAATAAAAAGTCAGTCCGGGTCAGTGATGTGATCTGGATCTAATTCCAATCACAGTCATTCTTGAGACTTAAGGATGTGATGCCATGTTGGAGATAATTAACCGCTGTATTTGACCAGTCTGATCCGAGATGCACAGTTGTACGCCATGGAGTTTTAAAGTTGAACAAGGTCCTGTTACCCTCTCAGGTGTCACAAGCAGTCACAGAACCGAGAGAGTGAGCAGGTTTGAAGTGGCAGGTTAAATAAAAACAGAGGCTGGATTAATGGTTTAGTTCATCCACCTGCTTAGTTCCAACCAGTT